GGTTTACAGTGATTTATTCATGATTTCAGTGATAAACACCAATCTTTATAGATCAATAATGAAAAATCGTGGAATATACTCACTACTGACTGGTTTCGCGAAAATATCCCCGGAGTTCTAGTCAGAAGACCTGACTAGTGGAGTTCAACCCTGTCGAGTGTAGGCAGTAACTACCGAAGACAATAGATAGAAATCTTTAGATTGATCAGAGTTAGACATTAACAGCGTTGGATGCCAGATCAGTGGTCCAGAAGTTAACCGTTCGTGCGTAAGACCGAAGGTCTTGAGTTCGAATCCTGTGCGTAACGGTAGTTGTGGATACGCAGAGCTTATGAGTCCCATACCAGAACGAAATAGCTGTCCAATGCTTGTGGATTACGACTGGTAGTCTAAAAATGATTGATTTATGATTTCAGTGATTCACAAGTTAATTTTTTTTTGTAAAAACACTTGTCAATTCAAGAAAGTTGTTACTTTTTTCTCACTTAATCTCAATAGGGATTTCAACATTTTTTTTTTTGAAAGATTGACTTAGAATTAAAAACTTTATCATTCAAAAAAAAACAACTGTACAGACAAAATTTTATGCCACTTCACATAAATAACATGTTAATTGCCTTGTTAATATATAGAATCCAACTGAGAAAATTTGTCCATTGTATGAGCTAACACATTTTGTGATTATCGATAAAAGTATTTGCGATGAATACATGGTTATCGTGTTTTAATTTATAGCTGTGATTGATTCACAATTCAATATCATCCTTTTCATTCATTTAGTGATTAGCTTCTAGGCTGCGTTGGAGAAAACTGGTGGGCGGCCTATGCTCCATTTGGGGTAACAGGCGTAAGTAAGTAAGTAAGTTCTAGGCTGCGTAACAGTGACACGTTCATGGAAGATAGCTGTTGAAAACTACAGCTGCTTAAAAATCAAGTATATAGTGTAGAATCGTGTTTCACTGTTCAATAGTCACTAACTTCTTAATGAATGGAAAAGCGACTGAATGTGTTGGGTATACGACACGCATTGAACGTTGAAAACATCATTCATATTAAGAATCATTCACATGACATTCTCGAATGTTATTTGTTTCGTTACTTAGTTACGATCGATTAATTTTTGATCAATCTTTCGGCCGATAGCTATGCTCACTTACAATCGTTACTGTTCTAATTAAAACTAACTATTTAACAGAAGGCTCGATTGGCTTTCGCCAACCTAAGTCAATTATGGCGTAGGCGAGATATCCGTTTGCTGACTAAAGGAAGAGTGGTACTGTGCAATAGTTCGCTCCTCCGTCTTACTTTATGGCTTTGAAACATGGCCAGTGAGAGTAGAAGATATTCGTAGGTTATTGGTTTTCGATCATAGGTGCCTTCGAAGCATTGCTCGTATATCCTGGGACAACCGAGTGAGCAACGCTGTTATTAGAAATCGGGTGCTGGGTAGGGATGGCAGATCAATAGATGAAGTAATGAAACTTCATCAGTTGAGGTGGTTGGGACATGTGTTGCGTATGCCCAACCACCGACTGCCTCGAAGAGCTTTGTTTTGTAGTGTAGGAGTAGGTTGGAAGAAAGTGAGGGGCGGCCAAACCAAAACATGTCAGAAATCCATGAAATCATTGACTAGTGGACTTAGCCATGTCGGTGATTGTCGACTACCTGGTTGGGGTCCGCGAGATGATAATAATCGATGGTTAGAGACCTTGAATGACATGGCTCAAAATCGTTCGCAATGGCGCCGGTGCATTTATTCTTTGTGTTCTCTTAAATCCTAATCTTCTGGATTCTTCAACCCCTCTACTTTTGACTTTCTAAACTTTTCTCACTGAATCATTCTTCTTGAATAATATGTTCTAATCCTAACCTCTCCGATTACTTCTAATACCCTTACTACCTCTTCTACTATTGGATTTGAATTGACAATTACATCTCTGTGCTGATATGGTATGGCAACATGAACTGATGTACTTACGTACATACGAAGTTCTACGTTGCATCTGACTGACTGACTGATTTAACAAATTTAATCTAATCTAACTGATTTAAATTCAAAATGATAAAGTTTTTTTACACAGTTTAACAAAACAAACTATTTTCTACTTTGTTTCTTATCGACAAAAATTGACATTTGTCAATAGGGCAATTCAATTTACCGATAACACTATGATACGGTTAACTTTACCGCTTTTCACTTCCTCTCTATTTTCTTTTATTCTGATTGGTTGAAATAATTAAATGAGAATAAAAAATATGACTGATGATAGATGGTTAAAATATGACTGTTGAATAGTTTTTTTTTAATTTTGTGTACGCATACAGTTAGTAAGAGTTTCATTTAAATCAACTAGTGAATAATTCGATTAGAAGGTCGACCAACATGCCGACAGCACATGCACACATGCTGCTTTCTATACATCACGAGGTTCCACATGTTTGCCATCATGTGAGTTTCTTTGCCCAAAAGGGTATGTACATGTCGACTAGATTCTCACGCAAGCAAGTTGGGCACCCAATCAGTGTGCGTACAAGCGTCACCTCCGTGCGGGTGCTTATAAATTAATTCAATCCCTCCAACCAAACCACTACCCACAGTCCGGAATCGGCATGGACGGCAAGGCGGGCTTCCCCAGCTAGTCCTGGGACCCTGCACGGATTACCGAGCCACGCACCAGTGCAATAACCAGCAGCCATTCCAGCAGTCTGGGCTCCAACTGCCTTTCTCTGATACAGTCGACTGGAGCCCTTACGACCCTACATAAAGCAAAGGATCGAGTTTGTCCCACAAGGTCACCTGGAACGTACACCCTCCCATGGGGAGTTGGACTTCTATGAGTCGAGGTCGCCAACCTCATGCCCAGCCTTCCTCCTTTATACGCTCTTCGTACCGACTGTAACCCTAGAAGGGCTACAAGAGTAGCTGTTTCATTTTTTAATTTAATTTAATCTAGGAATTACGTTTTGATCAATATTTTTGCTGATGTAAATGGTTTTGTAAACTTTCAACAATAAACAAACATGGGGTAATATTAATGATTAGTGTCTTTTATATTGTTCATAGACTCGTTATGAAGTGAAAGTTTTAACAGATCTCATCATGATACACACGCTAAACCTCCAAAAAACTGTCTACTCGACTGAGAATACTGTTATGCTCGTCTCTAGGTATGCTTAAAACTATTACGGGTTCAACTTAGTCGAATGACAAGAACAAAACAATGAACCAGCGTCCAGGTAGGCTACTCTTATCCGATTATACCAGCAAGAAGTCTTGATATAGAGTAGGAAGTGTATTCTACAAACACCCAGCAAGCACACACAATGAATCCAAGCACACGAATAGCGTTTATTTGTTTATACATCGTAGAAACGTTCTTGGGAGAGTCACAAAATAGCACACTAAAATGACACAGTAACCAATCACAGCCGAGGATTTTCCTGTTTCTAGGATGTATAAATAAACGAGAGTTTTGTGCTTGATTGTTTGTGATTGCTGGGCGTTTGTAGAATATACTTTCTACGCTTACCAAGTCTTCTGTCTTGCAGTTCGGTATTCAAGGTAGCCTACCTGGACGCTGGTAATTGTCTCGTTCGCGTTTATCGACTAAGATGAACTCGTAATAGTGACGAACATAATAGTCAGTTAATCGGTCAGTTACAAAGTAGAATTTGGTACATACGCACATCACTTCAAGTTGCCATTCCACATTAATACACAGACAGATGCAATTGTCAAATCAAATCCTATAGTCGTAGAGATAGTAGAAGTATTAGCGGTAATGAAGAAGATTAGGTTTCAAAGAAATTATTCAAGAAGTTTAATCCAGTGAAATGAATTTAAAAAAAGAAGGATAAAGGAGATGAGGAATTTTAAATACTAGAATTTAAGAGGACACAAAGAATGGATGCACCTTACTTACTTACTTACTTACTTACTTACTTACTTACGCCTGTTACCCCCAAATGGAGCATAGGCCGCCGACCAGTTTTCTCCAACCAACTCTGTTCTGGGCTTCCTTTTCCAGTTCTGTCCAATGTTTGTTCATTCCTCTCATATCTTTCTCTATTTCTCGGTGTAATGCGTTCCTTCGCCTTCCTCTTTTCCTTTTGCCTTCAGGGTTCCATATAAGGGCTTGTCTCGTGACGCAGTTAGGTGCTTTTCGTAGTGTGTGTCCTATCCACTTCCACCGCTTCTTCCTGATTTCCTCATCCACTGGAATCTGGTTGGTTCTCTCCCACAGTTCGTTGTTGCTAATGGTGTCTGATCAACGAATCTGAAGTATTTTGCGTAGACAACTGTTAATAAACACTGGTATCTTGTGGATGATGCCTTTCGTAGTTCTCCAAGTTTCCGCTCCATATAGTAGTAGAACTGTCTTGACATTTGTATTGAAAATTCTGATTTTGGTTTTGGTTGAAAGTTGTTTGGAGTTGCAGATATTTTTCAACTGTAGATATGCAGTCCTTGCTTTGCCAATCCGCACCCTCACATCTGCATGAGATCCACCTTGATCGTCGATGATGCTGCCCAGATATGTAAAGGTGTTAACATTCTCCAAGGCATCTCCATCAAGAGTGATTTAATAGATGCACCTGCTCTATTGCAAACAATTTTGAATCATGTCATTCAACCTCTCTAACTTTCGATAACTAGCATCTCTCAAACACTAACCAGGTAGTCTACACTTGCCAATATCATTCATGAAATAATGCTTCCTATCTAACATGTTCAAAGTTCAATAATTAATTAAGCATGTATGTTCAATGTACAACAATGTATCATTTTCACTATACACAATTAATTCTTTAGGGGCATTAGATCCCCAGAACTCACTACTATCTCTCAAATCCTAACCAGGTAGTCTACACTTACGAATATCATTCATGAAATCATACTTCTTATCTAACATATTCAAAGTTCAATAATTAAATAAGCATGTGTGTTCAATGTACAATGTATCATTTTCACTATTCTTGTGTTTTTTTTCATTTTACAGGTATACATTACAATGTGTTCTTCCAGTAAATTATTTCATTGAAAAAGTTTATATCTTTTTATGGTTTTGGTATATTCTAATAGCATGTTTAACTTTATTTAATACATTTATATGGATTATTAAATTATGTATACCATATTATCGTGTACAGTTTATACGTCAATATTTAAAAGCATTAAAACAATTATCACATACGGAAGAAACAGAATGTGCAAGATTTGTTAATAATAATTTAGGTTGGGATGGTATATTTCTATTGCAAGTTGTTAGTAAAATCTCTAGTGATTTAATTGTACTCGATGTTACTGGGTTGCTGTGGAATAATTATCAACGTGCTAAAATTACTGGAACTGAAGAGACAATTAGTAGATTTATTGAAAATATGAATCGGGTTTAAATGTGTGTTATACACAATGTGTAAACAAGCACACACACTTACACAGACACACAGACACGCAGACACACACACTATGAACAGAACAGGAATCAATATACTTGTATAAATATATGTGTTAGGTGTAGACACACACACACACATGTTTGAACACACGCAGATATACAGACACACATGATGAGCAAATGGTAATCAATATACTTTGTATAAATCTATGTGACACACACACACTATATATATTCCTTTTATAAAAAAAATACACACACCAAAAACTTTATTGATTTTCTTGTCCAATCAATTCAAATTGTTCAGTTGTTTGTTCAATGTACAAATCACTAATTGCCCCAATCAATTGCATATGATTAGTATTCAATAAAAAAAACTTGTACTATTTATTGATTGGTTATTTTGAAACTGAAACTGCAACTCAACTGTAACACTGACTTTGTATGATTATTATGATTATTACTATTTATCGATTCCTATGTCAGTTGTTCAATGCTCATTTGAGAAATATTTATACATTCTGTTTTGTTATGTGTACTTACTGCAAGTGAGTGTATATTGAACAGGGATTGATCGAGAAGACTTTGAAATGTGTAATTTCCGAATTTCGAAAAAAAAACTTCCTTTTTGACGGGTCAGATTTGTGTATTTATTTCAAAATATCAAAAATTCATTTTTCAACTGTATTGATATTTGCATTTTATTTTTATCACAAAAAAATAGTACTTATTTAAGTAGGCAATATCAATCTGTCTATATTATAGATATATTTAAAACTGATATATAGACAGAGTAAGTGAATGTGTGACGTATGTGTATATTCCATTCAATTCAATTTGTTCAATGTATCAATTGATTCAGATTGACACATTGATTGATATTGAACAGCAGAATAAATCAATAAATAAATAAATCAGTTTAAAAAAAATTAATTACATTTCTGTTTCATTTGTTTGTAATTGTTTTTTTTCTATTTTTTCAAAAAAAATTATTTTATTTAGTATATTTATTAATTAATAATAATAATGATAATAATAATTATACATGAATATAATAATTATTGTAAATTATGAACATGAAAACAATTTGTTTAATGAATGAATGTAGGGTGTTGGGTGAAGGCAGTTACTTATCGAATACAAAGGATGAGATTGTACAATATCAGGGATTAATTCATGTTAGACATCAACATCGTCGGATGCCTAGTCAGTGGTCTAGCGGTTAAGCATTCACGCAACTACGGATGTTGTGGATGAGTACTGTTGAGGAGCCTCATATTAGGATGCAGCAACTGTCCAGTGCTTGTAGATTTCGAATGTTGATTTAACATTGATTGACTCATGATTTCAACAATGACTGAAAGCTTACAAATCGATTGTGTAACAAATTCACAAAAAGTTAGTTGTTTTAGAAGGAAGTTAAATTGTGTTTGACGCAATTTGTTGACATTTCTTAACAAATGGATTCTTTCCCTCTCCTCACAAGCCTCAAGCCTATATTTAGTAGCTACCATTTGAACTTAATGGGTTACATATAAACACAATGACATATATTGAGCAGTCATCTCTATACAAATTGCATTCAATCGTAAGGTTATTTGGTAGATGACATATCCAGAGTTGAATAGCAGTTGTAAGTGAATTATACTCTATGTGGTCAAGGTCAGAACACAAATGGTCATGTCGGGATTAGTCAAATGACCTAGACATATTGATCAATATTTGAACATGTAGCTTCCTAAAATCTATACACCTTATTCTGAATGCCTGGTTAGTTAAGAGAATTGAATTATGCGGTGCTACTGAATCCGACTGTTGATGATGAAAACCTGCTAGAGAACCGAAAAATACCTATCAGGTTTGATAGAATATACAATGATTTTAGACCATTATACCAGAAGTTCGTCTTATTTGGTAACTTGTCTTAAAAACAACAGTTCAGATTGGAATATATTTTTGAATATATTAGTTAATGTTAGATCCCCTGAACTGAATTGATAAAGGTGTTAATTTTGGATTTTATTCATGAGTTATTCAGTTCACCTTAAGATTACATTGCTCACTCGGAAAATACTTAGCTGTCATTGGTTGATGTGTTATTTTTGTGACTGTCCCAAGGACGTTACTATGATGTATAAATAAACGCGATTTGTGTGCTTGATTGCATTGTGCTTTCTGGGTGTTTGTAAAATACACTTTCTACGCCATATCAAGACTTTTTCGTCAGGTACTCTAGGGCAGCAACTCAGAGTAGCCTACTTGGACGTTAGGTCATTGTTTTGTTCTCGTTATTCGACTAATGTGAACTCGTAATAGTTTCAAGCATATCAATCTGACCAACTATCAACAAACGCCAAAGTCACAATTTTCAATACAAATGTCAAAACAGTTCTACTATATGGAGCGGAAACTTGGAGAACTACGAAAGCCATCATCCAGAATATACAAGTGTTTATTAACAGTTGTCTACGCAAAATACTTCAGATTCGTTGGCCAGACACCATCAGCAACAACGAACTGTGGGAAAGAACAAACCAGATTCCAGTGGAGGAGGAAATCAGGTAGAAGCGGTGGAGTTGGTGGATAGGACACACACTACGAAAAGCACCTAATTGCGTCACGAGACTAGCCCTCACATGGAACCCTCAAGGCAAAAGGAAAAGCGGAAGGCCAAGGAACACATTAGGCCGTGAAATAGATAAAGACATGAGAAGAATGAATAAAAACTGGACAGAACTGGAGAGGGAAGCGCCGGACAGAGTTGGTTGGAGAAAACTGGTCGGCGGCCTATGCTCCATTGTGGGTAACAGGCGTAAGTAAGTAAGTATATCAATCTGACGAGCATAACAGTTATACCCCCGGATAGACTATTAAGAATATGCAAATTATTTATTAAATCAAAATTACACCTCAGAAGCTCCTGTCTAGGTCAATGCTTAAACCTTTAAGCATTATTTGTGTATATTATTGCATAGCTCTTACCAGTGAAATTACTCACTCAGTTTTTATCTTAGAAATGAAAATTAGTGACTCAGTCGAATTGAGGAACGGAACATGTTCAAAATGCTTCCCAGAAATCTTTATTTAAACAAAGCGTAAACAGTTAACTGGTTCTGAACAGCCCTGAAGTTTTTGGATTGAAACTGCTGGTTTAGTTTTGGTGAGTACTATTGTAATGTAAGAAAAAATTACAACCAGATGGAATACACATATTTGAAGAAGAAGACACAATTTATTCAGAAAATCTGTATGCAAAATCTTCAAACATTCATTTACAGTGCAAGCCGGTTATTCACTTGTAGTACCTCACTATTTATTGATTAAATTACTCGATAATCGTATCGACAAATTTCTATCATTCTAATAATTCGATAACAGTATCGGCTATTGTATGTTTGACTGTGGGTGTGTGTGTATGCATGTTTACTCGCTTAGTACATGTCAAACCTATTATTGTTTGACTATAAATACTTAGTCACACTTCAGAGTATGGAGAGTTAGTTAGCTCACTCACCTTCTCCAATTAGCCTCGCTTTACTTTGTTTGTACACTTCCCATTCTGTCATGTTTGTCTGCCTAAATGAATACATGAAATAAATTCGTTCGTATTTGGCTTCCGATTACCACCGTCGTACAAACGAAATTAGCTTAGGTATAATAATATACATAAATGAGGAGATTTCTTTAATCCCTTCTATTCTTCCATATACTCTGATCTTACCAAGCATTTCTATCGTCAAACACTCATCTCTCTTTCTCTCTAGTGGCAACGTCATAGCATACTACTTATATACTACCTTATGAGTAGTATCTACCATAGAATACTAAAATAAAAAAGTTAACTGGTCATTCTTGTTTCTTCACGATTGTCTATGTGAACTACCAAAAATAAGTAAATGTCAATAAGAATGTCACCCATTCACATCATATATATATATATATATATATATATATATATATATATATATATATATGTATATATACATATATATATATATATGTTGAGGATGTTAGATCTCCAGAAATCGCTTGATAAATGTCTTTATTATGGATTTATTTCATGGACCGATTAGTTGACCTTGAGATTACATTCCCTATCAGGAAAATCCTTGACTGTGATTGGTTACTGTGTCATTTTAGTGAGCTATTTTGTGACTATCACAAGGACGTCTCTATGGTTCATAAATAAACGCAATCTGTGTGCTTAGATTCATTATGTGTGCTTGCTGGGTGTTTGTAGAATACAACAATTTCTACACTATATCAAGACTTCTTGCTGGTGTAATCGAAAAAGTGTAGGCTACCTGGACGCTGGTTTATTGTCTCGTTCTCGTTATTCGACTAAGGTGAATCCGTAATATTTCTAAGCATACCTAGAGACGAGTATAACTATAAATACATATATATATATATATATATATATATATATATATATTACCACCGCCGCACAAACGAAATTAACTTAAATGTAAAGGAGGATTTCAAACTGAAGTCAAAACTCGAGTAAATAGCCACACTGTTCTCACTTATCCCTTCTGTTTCTCAATATCCTCTAGTCTTACCAAGCATTTCTATCACCAATCGCTTCTCTCTCTCTCTCTGTCTCCCTCTCTGGTATAAACTTCTTATGACCATCCACCACAGCATACTACTTATACACTAACTTATAAGTAGTATCTAACATGCAAAATTCATTTGAATAGAAAATAATCCCTAATAACAGAAGAAAAGAAAAGAAAAGAATACAACAATAGGTCAGAAAATCATTTGATTCAATTAAGCCTTATTATTATTATTATTATTATTATTATTATTATTATTATTATTATTATGATTGAGTTTACTTATATTTTGATTGTGAAAAAATTTGTAAAAAAATTCACTCTGTGTATTTTTTCGATTGAGCAATAATCGTAATCACATTCGTTGACTGAATAAAAAATCATAACCGAGGAGGGAAATTAGATTTCTGCCCACACCGAGAAGAAAGGGCAAGCTATTGATCGATGTGGCCGAGGGGGGGGGGCTACAAAGCGTTGCAATGCGAGAAACATGAGTAGTAAATCTAATTTGTTAAATAAGAACAAACTGAAATGTAATGAAATGTAATTAAGGATGAACAGTGATAGTAGCCTGAAGCACGTACGTATTCTTCTTTTTTATAGATCACAGTTTCTTTGGGAAAATTATTAAATTTGTAATGTATATTGTGTTTTTTTATAGACAAATAGTGGAAATGAGATATTATTGGACAAAAAATATTTTGTTCTAGTATGTGACGATTGTTCAGTAGTATTATCTTGTTAGGATATTTATTCGTCATCAAGAGAATTATTTTTGTAAGTTTAATTCTATTGGTTAATTTCCTAGTGAGCAATAGTATGGTTGTTCTAGGTATCAAGGTCATGTACTTTAAATGTTGTTTCCTATTCGACTTAACTGTATAAATATGCATTATCTGTAACGTTTTATGGACCGGACTCGGACCTCTTACGTTATGGATGCTTGTAGAATACATGTTCTACTTT